TGCTGTAAAAGTGAATGAGCTCGAGCCTCGGCCAACTTCAGGGGTGGTTCACCAACCGTAAGTTTGCGTTCTGGAGGGAAAGCGCCTTCGTTGGGATCAACCTCTTCCAGATGTTGCTGTACTTCATTTTGCTGATTTGGCGGTTAGCGGGAAATGGCGCGAGATGCATTCAAGGGAGCATTTACCTCATCAAGAGCCATTCTGTTCTGGATGAGCAGCGCGATTCTCGAGTCCAGATAGCGAACGTCCCTCTCCAATACGAAGTTTTTCTTTGATTGAGCAGATATGCGGCTCTTGAGATCGCGGAGCCGTTTCTGTGCTGTCGCCCGATGAGCACAACCAATAAAGCACGAGTAAAAATAAGAAAAGATTACCTCTTGAAAGATCATCCTCAATGTCTGTATCATTCTCGGCGGCCATCGAGTAGAGTTGGTTCACCGAGTATCGATTCGTATTCCTGTTCGTGAGACGGCGTGGGTCCACCGGTGACGACGATTCGGTGAAGCTCGACATGGTAAGAGATTGTGAAGGTGAAAGATGGGAATAAAGAGTTCTACTCGAGGGCTGCGCGGCGGTCTGTGGCTGCGATTTTGGTCGGAAGACGACGTGTTAAAAATTTAGGCTCTCTCAATTAATCCGATAGAGAAGCAAAAAGAAATAAACAAGGAAAAGGGTTTGCCTTGGGTGGTTAGTGATCGTAAATGTTGACGAGGGCGGCTCCAAGAGTGAGAGAGCGCCTGGATTGCACGGCGTTTGTGCACCGGCCACTCCTCCAGCTACTTACACTGAACTCAAGAGATGATCATTTCCCTAAATAGTATGCTTTAGAGATACATATCCGGATATTACGAATTGCTGCACCTAGAGAAGGAAATAGACGTTCAGGATGTTACTCTGACTCTGAATTCATATCAGACCACAAGTCTTGGATAATCCAACAAGACTTTCCCAATTACTGTCACTTTGAGGAGGCCGAACTGGTGCAAGGTGGTACCACACGCCTTTGGACTCCGCAAAGCGACTAGAAATCGTG